CACTCACTATAAACTAGGATGAAGTCTCTGATGGAGAGGCCCAATCCCCTGGCCCAGAAAGTTTAGTTCAAAAAAAAAATTGATGAATCTGAGGGCACTAACTACTGTGAGTGTCTCTACTATTTGTTCTAAATATCTTGGCTTCTGAAGTACCTCTTACTGGAAATGACAGGCCTTATAGCCAAGGTTCTTAAGGGAACGAGAAAGGTAACTTAATAAGGACAGGGGAAAAATGTGAAAGTTTCTCTCCCAACCCACACCCTGTATTATTGATGGTGCTATCAAAGGATAGCCTTTTAAAAGCCTCTTGATAATGATTAGTGATTTAGAGCACTTTTCATATGACTAATGATAACTTTGATTCCTTCTTTTAAAACCTGCCTATGTATACCCTTTGACCACTTATCAATTGGGGAATGAGTCTTATTTTTATCAATTTGGCTCAGTTCCCTATATATTTGAGAAATGAGGCCTTTACTTGCTGTAAAAAAATTTCTCCCCAGTTTCTTGCTTTTCTTCTAATTTTGACTGCTTGTCTGCACAAAATTTTTTAGTTTCATATAATCAAAATGAACCATTTTACCTCCCTTGATCCTCTCTATTTCTTGTTTGTTCATAAACTCTTCTCTTATCCATAGATCTGATAGGTAATTTTTTCCCATGCTCCCCAATTTGCTTTTGATGTCACCCTTTATATCCAAATCATTTTGACCTTATCTTGGTAGACAGTGTGAGATGTTGGTCTATGCCTAGTTTCTGTAAATTACTTTTTTCCCAGCAGTTTTTGTCAAATAATGAGTCCTTGCCCCAAAACTTTGGATCTACTTGGTTTATCAAACTACTGGTTACTATGGTAATTTTCTTTGGAATACTGCATTCCTAATAGATTCCACTACTCAACCACTCTATCTTAGTACCAGATTGTTTTGATGAGTAATACTTTGTAATATTGTTTGAAATCCAGTATTTTACACATATGTGTGTATACATATATATCAGGCTTCCTTCCTTAACATTTTTTTTCATTGATTTCCTTGATGTTTTTATTCAGTCGTGTCTAACTCTTCATGATTCCATTTGGGGTTTTCTTGACAAAGATTCTGGAATGGGTTGTCATTTTCTTCTCCAACTGCAATGAATGAATTCAAAAAGACATTCTGACCTTGCTCAGTATGCCTGCAATTTGACCCTCTTTTTCATGTTAATCTTATTCCTGGATAGATGTTGAAGGACAGTTTATGGTATTTGCTCCCAGGACACGCTGGCCACTCCTCCAGGAACCGAATATTCATAAACAGGCATGCTCTCAAGGATGTTTTGAGAACAGCTCCATGGTATTTGAATGATTTATTTCTGGCTGCTTTCAATATCTTCTCCTGGAACCTCCAGAATCTGGCTGCAATATTCATGGAACTTTACATTTTGGGATCTCTTTCAGGAGATGTTTGGTGGGTTCTTTCAGTTTCTATTTGCCTTTTAGTTCTAAAATGTCAGGGCAGTTTTCTTTGATAGCTTCTTGAAATATGATATCTAGGCTCTTTTTTATATCATGGTTTTCAGGCAGAACAATAATCCTTAAATTACTTTCCTTGATCTATTTTCTAGGTTAGTTGTTTTCCCAATGAGATATTCCACATTTTCATCCTTTTTTTCATCTTTTTGACTTTATTTTGTTGTTTCTTGATGTTTGCAGAGTCATTAGCTTCTGCTTGCCCATATTTAAGGAATTATTTTCTTCAGTGAGGTTTTGTACTTCTTTTTCCATTTGGCCAATTCTGTTTTTTAAGGCATTGTTTTCCTTAGAATTTTTGTGCCTCTTTTTTTTTTTAATTTTTAGGCAATTGGGGTTAGGTGACTTGCCCAGGGTCACACAGCTAGTAAGTGTCAAGTGTTGGGTCTGAGGCCGGATTTGAACTCAGGTCCTCCTGACTTCAGGGCTGGTGCTCTATCCACTGCCCCACCTAGCTGCCCCCTGTGCCTCTTTTACCAAGCTGTTAATTCTCTTTTCATAATTTTCTTACATTGCACTCATTTCTTTTCCCAGTTTTTCCTCTTCTTTTATTTTTAGAATAATTTTTTTTGTTCTTTCTTTAGCTCTTCCAGGAATTCTTGTTGGGCTTGTGTCCAATTTGCATTTTTCTTTGAAGCTTTACTTGTAGATGTTTTCACATTGTTCTCTTCTTCTGAGTTTGTGTCTTGAACTTCCCTGTCACCATAGTTGGTTTTTTTATATAGTCAGGTTCTTTTTTGTTGTTGTTATCTCATTTTCTCAGCCTATTTTTTAACTTTGAATTTCACTTTAAAGTTGGGCTCTGCTTACTTTGGGCAGAGGGTATCACCATCCCAAGCTTCAGGCTTTTTTTTTCCCCTTGCTGTTTCATAGCTAGTTCTGGGTGTCTGTAAATTTTTGGTGTGATCCAAGGAGAGCTGTGGTCACTGTTTTCCTGGTCTTAGTCTGGTCCTTACTTAGGAAGGGCCTCCACTCCCTTACAACAGCAAATACTAGAGCTCATCTCTCCTCCCTGAAACAGTAACCAGGAAATAGGATCCCTGCTCCTTTGAGACTGCAAGTGCTCCTCTCTGTCCTGGAACTGCAACTCAGAACTGGATAATGGGCAATACAGTTGCCAAAGGGTGCCTACTACTGCACCCAGTGTTGGCATAGGTATCCCATATACCTATACATATACCAGCTCCTTCTGACCGGGTTTTTAATCCCCTTACTGTCTCTGAGAAGACAGAGCTCCTGCCACTGACATCTCCAGGGCCCACAGTGAGTGTCACCACTGCACTGTTGCTCCTGGCCAGCACTGACCTCTGGGCTACAGACCTTTTCTTCTTACCTCATAAGTTGTCCTGGGCTGGAAAAATGCCTTACCCTGACCTTTTGTTTGCTGTGCTACTCTAGAAGTAAATTTGATGCATTAAAGTTGTTTGGAGGCGAATGTTGGGGGAATTTGAATGCTCCCTCTATTCTGCCATCTTGGCTCTGCCCCTCTCTGTTCAGCCTCTGGATTCTGAACAGGCTTTTGAACTGAAAGAACATCATAGTTCAGTCATGAGTAAGACATCTAAAGCCTTTAGCTGAAGCCATAAGCTTAAAGCCTAGAAAAGCTAGCATGCCTGGTGAGGCTGTGTCCGGTAACATCCAGCAAAAACTCTATGTGTAGCAAGGCAACAACTGGCATAGATAGGAAGTAATTAACAGGAACTAATTCTCTTGTTAACTTAAAGGCCAACATATCAATGAAGGCTCATGAACTCCAGACCCACAGAGTCCCTTGAACCCAAGGTAGCCCTCTCTGAGACTTCAACCATGTGAGTTAGAGGTTATTCCCTGGGACTACAAACGCAAATGTGTCAAGCCCTGATGATGAGTCCTTTTCCAGCTTTGACTTATCTGCATGTACAGGGCCTTACTCTGATGAAAGAAATACTGGAAGATGACCGCACTTCTCTTTCCTGGCACCATGTATGTGGGCTCTTCAGTTTTATGATATGTCTTTGTCTTTCTTGCTATTCCCTACAGTTCCTGTCTTTTCTCTTTTTCTATTTTCTCCTCTGTATTGTTATTAGCACCCTGGCAAAATAAAGACTGAGGTTCAAATCCCATCTCTGATCCTAGCTAGTTCTCAGAAAACAGGAAGGTCTATTATCTACTTTGCTGTTGTGCAATTAAGACTTATCTACTAAGTTATAGATAGGATGTGATCTACTCTGGTGCCTGCACTGTCAAAAGCAAGCATACCGTGAAATAATTATATGAATATCTCTGCACTATTAAGAAACGCTCTTGAATTCCATTAGGCCTGATTATATACATTAAAATGGAAGGAAAGCACTCTTCTCAATGCACTCTTCAAATGCACTCAAAGTCCATCCTTATACTCTACTTAATTCAAATATAAAAGATGAAGGTTTTGTCCATTTCTTTTTAAGCCACCAATTTTAGTCTGTCTAGAGCAGTGGTCTCCAAAGAATGGGATCCCTAATTGTGGTATCACTTCAAGGTATATATATAATCATGGGGAGAAATGTCCCATCCCACTTTTGATAAAATATCCAATAGGGAGACAAAAGCCAGTCATGAAACTAATCAACAATACAACTATATCTCTCCTGGTACCCCAACATTCCTCTCCCTTCCTCTGCTGTGCAAGCTACTAACCTTGCCTCTTTTAAGCCTAGTGTCAGACCCACATAGTCAATATAACCTGAGCTCCTACTCACAGAAACCTAGGAGGTATCATAGGGAAAATTTTGCCCCTCAGATCATCTTGTGGCTGCAACAGGTATGTCTTGGAAGGTGGGCTCTGAACTCTAGGGTGATGACCTAAGTAAGAGCCCTGCCTCCCCCTTTCTATTTTGGATGGGACAGAGTGAGTCACAAAGGACAAGCATGGATGAATTGTGGTCTGAATCATAGATATCATTACTTTCATTCTGCAAACTTCCCCTTGGTCCCCAAAACCTACTCATCTTCCAAACTTCCCTATTACTGTTGAGGTCAACATCATCCTTCTTGTCCCCCAGGTTTTCACAACCTCAGTGTCATACTTCAAATGCCAAAATGCTTTTCAAGTGCAGGTATAACCAAGTTATCCCCCTACTCAATAAACTCCAGTGGCTACCTATTAATTTTGGGATCAAATATTACCTCATTTTTATCTCATCCTCTTAATTTTTGTCTGTTTTACTTTATGTCATTATTAGTACAACAGTACGTGCATATAATTGATAAGTACATATACCCATTGAGTGCATGTTCAAAAATTTTTACTAATGTGATCAAAAAGTTTGGAGACTCCTAATTTAGAGGATCGCCTGCGCTCAGGCAACCTGTAGTTCTTAAATTATTTCATTGGCCTGCAGATACTTAAAAGTTGGTATTCCCACAGGAAGATAGGCAGTGGTGAGGGTAAAAAAGGGTGTACAAAAGATCAAATAAAATAAATAAGAATAAAGTATGCAATAATATGAAAACACACTTTTTCCTGTACCTGTGATGATTTTGTTGTTTTTGCTTTTTTGTCTTTTTTTGACTCTCCTTTCCCTTTTTTACCTTTCTTGCTTTTTTCAGAAGCTATGCTTTCATTATCATTTCTACTTCCTTTCTCTATTTCAGCATGTGATGCTTCAAGATCTTTCTTGGCTTTTTCAACTTCCTGTTAAAAAATAGTTAACAATGATTAGCAAGGTTTTTGTTAAGTTCCTCCACTCTATCCAAGACATGCCTCAACCTTACCATGCCCATCCACTTCAAACTTGCATTTTAGAAGTTCACATTTGCATTGAAAATATGGCCATTATTTAAGAGCTATCCGAAACGACTTTATTTTCTATCTCAATATCAAAGCAAATGCAAAAATGAAAACAAAGAGAAGAAGACCAGAGATTGGTTCCTGGAGCTTGTCCCCTACAGTCTACTAGCACTAACATGAAACATTTGCTCAGTGCAATTGATGAATTTGCCAGGATAGTAGATAAGATTATTTCGTCTCTGTCATTATTACAACTGACATGTTCCCCAAGTAAATAATAATATTTATTTACTACTAGACCTGCAAATAATTCCTTTGAAATGAAAAGTCCATAGGTGAAAGAGGAAAGATTTACACTAGAAGAATTGAAATCAATTTTATCAAAAAGGGAAAAGTGGTAAGGAAAATTAACTGATGCTGAAAAAAAAAGATCATTATATAATTATGTAATTTTCAAAAACATAGTCATTAAATAACAGAATAAGGGCAGCTAGGTGATATAGTAGAGTCAGAAGAACCCGAGTTCAGATCCAGCCTCAGACCAAACATTTGACACTTACTAGCTGTGTGACCCTGGGCAAGTCACTTAACCCCAATCGCCATAAATAAATAAATGAATGAATGAATGAATGAATAAAAGAATAAAATCTTCCTGTTTTTCATGCAAAACACTGCTGATTAAAAAGTCCTTTATAAACAATTCCTTAATTTGCAAACTATATAGAAGTGTCATGCTATCCTTTACCTGTAAAGCATCTTTCAATTGTTCCTGAAGAAATTTGTTCTCACTTTCCAGAGAAATTACTACTTTCTATAAGATAATAAGAAAATATTTATTTTTCTTCTCTATGCTTATATTTATTTTAGAACACTTAATAACAGCATTACATTTTACTTGTTTTTTAGACATGAGAAATATTTTAAATCATCTAATTATTCTTTAATTGACCATTTTTATTCTTTGGAAAATATTATCATTACTATATTTTAAAGCTAAAACAAGAATTGTAGTCCTTAACTATCAAAGAAATTTCTGGTGACATCACTTAATTGCAATAATGGTGACTTGAAGACATTAGGAAAGAAAGACCTTAAAATATCTAACCTAGAAATGACTATTGCCATACTCGTAAGAACTCATCACATCCCTGCCCTGGTGTTTGAAATGTGACATCTAGACAAACATCAAGGGACAAGTAAACAACAACAACAACAACAAGCCAAGTTGAGATCCCTCCTTAGACATTGCATGACCCCAGACAAGTCACTTCATCTCTCCCTCAGCAGTACTGTCAATGACACAGGCATTGTGTGTGTGTGTGTTGTCCACAAAGATTATATGTGTCCATATGAGTCTGTCAAGAAGTAGCTCATAGGGAGGCATGAATAGATATTTCTGTGGTCTCATTGAACCATTCCCCTCCCCGGAAGATTTTGATTCCTACTAGGCAGAGAGCCAGAGACTGGGACCACAGGACTGACCATTCTACTCTCCCCAGAGAGGAAGAACCAGGCTGGAATGATAGCTATCTCCCATAAATATTGCTAATCTATAGGTACACAAGATTCAGCAATACCACTACTAGGTCTATAGCCCAAAGAGATCATAAAAAAAAAGGAAAAGGACCTACATGTGCAAAAATATAGCAGCCCTTTTTGTGGTGGCAGAATATTGGAAATCGAGGGGATGCCCATCAACTGGGGAATGGCTAAACAAGCTGTGGTGTATGAATGTAATGTAATATTATTGTGCTATAAGAAATGATGAGCAGGCAGATTTCAGAAAAAACTGGAAAAACTTGTACGAACTGATGCAAAAAGTGAAATAAGCAGAACCAGGAGAACATTGTGCACAGTAACAGCAACACTGTGGGATGATCAACTATGATTGACTTAGCTCTTCTCAGCAGCACAATGATCCAAGATGATCTCAAAAGACCCATTTTAGGAAATGTTATCACACCCAGAGAAAGAACAGATGGAGTCTGAATGCAGATCAAAACATACTATTGTCTCTTTTTAATTTTTCTTTTCTCATGTTTTTTTCTTTTGCTCTGATTCTTCTTTCACAACATGACCAATGTGGAAATATGTTTAATATGATTGTACATATATAGCCTTTGTCAGATTGCTTGCTGTCTTGGGGAGGTGAGAGTGGAGGGAAGGACGGAGAAAAAATTTGAAACTCAAAAATCTTATAAAAAATGAATGTTGAAAACTATCTTTACATGTAAATGGAAAAAAATATGAATTACCAAGAAAAAATTATTACTAATCTATGGGAAATAATTTTCATGTTCAAGTCTTACTCCTCACCATCTTTTATAAAAATAAATTTACTATTATTATTTATTTTTAACATTCTTTTAAAACAATTTTAGGGGCTAGGTAGCACAGTGGATACAGTACCATCCCTGGAGTCAGGAGGACCTGAGTTCAAATACAGCCTCAGACACTTGACACTTACTAGCTGTGTGACTCTGGGCAAGTCACTTAACCTCATTGCCTAGCCAAAAAAATTTTTTTTTACTTCCAAATTCTCTCCCCCCAACTCTCCCCCACTCTTTCAGAAGGAAAGAAATGTGATATCAATTATATATATGTGGAATCATGCAAAACATTTTTCCATATTAGCCATGTTACAAATTAAAAAAAAATAAAATAGGAAAAATTTAAAAAGTGAAAAAAGTTATGCTTCAATCTGCACTCAGACTCCACTAGTTCTCTCTCTGGAGGTGGATAAGCATTTTTATCACAAGTCTTTCAGAATTGTCTTGGATCATTATATTGAACAGAATAGCTAAGTCTTTTAATTGACTATTATCTTTTTAATGGAGCCCCAAGCTATATAGCTAAAGGCTTGACTCCCTTCCTACCAAATGCCAGTTCCACCAAGAACATCACACACAACAACTAAAACCATTTATTCAAGCTGATAGCAAACAGAAATCAGAAAAGTTATACAAATGAGAATATGCCAGACAATATAAAGAGTGAATGAGCTCTCTTACTGGAAACAAACTATCTCACTTCAACCAAAAAGAGAGTCCCAGATCTCACCTGAAGGGGAATTCCCCAAAATCTTTAATGTGGCATACTGGGGATAGGGACATGATCAAGGTGCTAGTTCCTCTTTACATGTGAGCTTCTTCCCAGAGTACCTCTGGGAAGGTACCTCTGTACCTCTATAGGGATTTTTTTTCCTAAAAAGAATCTAGAATTGAGTGTTTCCTCTTTCAAACGTGAAAGCCAAAGGATAAGCTCTTTTTTCTCCCAAATTTTCACCAATCCCACATGAAGTATTGAGAAATCATTCTCCACCACTGAGGAGAGTCTTAGCAGAATAGGCTTGAGTTCTGGCTTATACAACTGCTGACCTTGTGCACAGTGCTATTAATGTGTCAAGCCAAACCCTTTAGTATATGCTGTTCTTTAATATTGTTAACAGCTTATAGTGAAGCCTATTAAATAAGTCTTTCCTCCAAGAGACATACAACCCAGGAAAACTTGATTAACCAAATCCCGAGATCTCACCTGGTTCTCTGGTTTCCCTCAGCCTCCCTTCTGGCTTTCCAATCAGCTCTGAAATATGAGAGCCAGTTTAGAAACACACACCCAGAAGCCTGTTCAGGTTCAGCTTTTATAGTTTGGATATGGGAAGCCTCCGAGTCTGGTGCCCTCATTAGGTGGATTAGTGATAGCTGGTGCCTTCCTGCTCTGTGGTTCCATTTACTCAACCCAGCCTTCTGGATTTTGGCAACATCCACAGTAGCCAAAGAAATAATACAGTAAGACATTTATCCTCAAGTAACTTTCTTCTCCTAATTTTCACGTTTGTTGATGGCATTACTAATTTTCGAGTCACCTTCATTATAAGAAAACCTAGAGATTTTTTTTAAATCACTCTCACATTCTATCTCTCCAAGTCCTGTCAACTTTTCTTTCAGAATTTATTTCATATCCATCCCCTCTCTATTATCACTTCTATCATCCTATATGTGCCTTCATTACCAGAACCCACAAGGCTTTGACCACCTTAAGAACTAGAGGAAGAAATAATGTTGAGAACAGTTCTTCCCAGTGTCAGACAACAGGCAAATAAATATGTACAAAAAAAGCTATAGACAGGATAAATAGGGAATAACTAACAGAAAGAAAGCACCAGAATTAAGAAGGGCTTGGAAAGGCTTCCTATAAAAGACAGAATTTTAATTGGAACTTAATGGAAGCCAGGGAAGCCAGAAGGAGGAGAGAAGGAGGGACAGCGTTCCAGGCATGGGGGCAGCCAGCTAGAGACAAGTTTACAGAATCTCAAAATCCCAAAGGTGAGAGTGATCTCAGTCACTATGGAGCACAATCCATGCTTGAATGTAAAACATGCCCAGCGATCAAAGGGGGAATCTGCTGCCTCCTGGAAAAGCCCACAAAAAGTGTGCAAAAACTTTTGCAAAAATGATTCTGCTCACCATCAGTACATGGAATGTGCACATGCTTATGGACAACACAAAATCCAGTAGACCTGGAAGACAAACAACTTTTGTTGCAAGAGAATTCAGCAGGTATTGCATCCAAATAGCAGACCTGAGTTCACTCAAGGCTGAGTTCAAACAAGGCTAGCAAATGAAGGCCAGCTTATCAAAGTCAGGGTGGGATATACATATTTCTAAAGTGGTCATAGTGAAGGGGAGCACCATGAAGCTGGTATAGGTTTTGCAATCAAAATTAACCTAATCAACAAGGTTGTATGCCTCCCAAAAGGAGTGAATGACAGGCTTATGAAAATGTGATTGCCAATTGCAGGAAAGTGCCACGCAGTTTGTATGATTCCACCATTACAAACTTTGATGGGGTCAAAGAAAAATTTTACAAAGACCTGAAGACCTTCACTACCAACATGCTGAAAGTGGACAAGTTTACAATTCTAGGTGACTTTAATGTAAGAGTAGGCACAGACTACCAGACATGGCAGGGAGTCCTTGGGAGGAACACAGTTGGAAACAGCAACAGCAACAGTCACTTACTACTGAAGATTTGTACATCTCATGACCTTCTCATCACCAACACTGTCTTCTATTTACCTAAACACATCTTGCAGCATACATGGGCATTTAATAGACTATGTCATTGTAAGAGGAAGAGATAGGATGGAGAGTGGAAAAGTCAATGTGTGGTGCAGAGTGCTAGACTGATCATGGACATCCTCTCCAATTAAATATTCACATTCCACGAAAGCAAAATGATATCAGAAGACTTAATATCAACAGATTAGAGCACTCCTCCAAGTGGGAATAGTTCATTGTTAACCTGGAGGGAAAACTAAGCCAATGCATGGTTGGCAACAGTGGAGTAGAAAAGAAGCTTTCAGAGATCTGGTATGTGGGACTGCATTTATTTATCTGGGCCAAAACACTTACAAACATCAAGATTGGTTTGATGAATGATGGGGAAATTGAGAAGCTGCTAAATAAAAAATAAGAACTCCACAGAGTTTACCAGCATGATAGTTCATCCATCTCTAAGAAGGCAGTGTTTAACTCCATCAAAATTAAAGTGCAAGCGAAGCTTAAAGGGATGCAGGACTCTTGGGTTCAGTTAAAAGTCAGATGAAATTCAGTTTTATGCTGATAGTAACAAACCAAAACACTCTTATGATGCCTTGGTGGCTATTTATGAGCTAAAAACCTATGGTGCATCTCAACTACTCAGTGCTGATGGAGGCACACTGATTAATGATAAGTACATTTCCATAATATTTTCAACAGACCATCATCAATCAATGCTGAAGCCATTGCCCATATATATCAGGTTGAA